CCGCAGCCGGGGCGGGGCGGAGCACGGCTGCCACCAGGGGGCGCGGCCAGGCGCTGCTCTCGGGCAGCCTCCCCTTGGGGTGCGGTTAGGACACGTGATCGAGTCCAATTCCCCGTGATTTTCATTTATTTATTTTTTTTTTCTGCTCCGTGGGCTCCAGGATGTTATTTTTAGTAGAAGAGCTGCTATAAATATTTATAAAGGCCAGTGACAGGAGTGAAATGAGAAGCCCCGCGGCTGGCTCTCCCACACCCTCCACGCCCCGCCGCAGACCCTGCCCCTTTGAGGTGTGCAGAGCCACTGAGCTGGACACGGGGCTTCGTATGGATGGAGTCCCGCGATCCCTGGAAAAGGAACAGACAGAAGCACAGAAGGTGGCTGTTAAACGTCCTGCCTTTTCCAGCTGTCCCTTCTGTGCTACCCGTGTCTAAGGGGGGGTCACGGCTGCAGTTGTGAAATGTCACGGGCCCTAGGGCCTGAATGTGAGGAGCAGGAACGCTGGGGTGTGGTTGCAGCTCAGCGAGGGCAAGGAAAGATGGCCACAGCAGCCGACCTATGGCGCTGCTGTGTAAAGGGCAGCTCCCAGGCTGCTGGTGAAAGCCCTGCCTGGCCCACGTGCCTACTGGGCAGAGCAAAGAAGCAGTGAGAAGGGCTCTCACGCACGTGAGAAAGGGGGTCACCATTTGGCTGGGGACCGAGGAGAACTGGACAACCACATGGAAAGTTTTGGAGGCTCTCGGCACCCACCTCGGCGAAGTTAGATGAAGCTAGCTATGAGGTAACGAGTCTTAAGAGTCTTATACACGCACAAAGCCTGACCTCATGCTTTGCAACCTTCCCTAAGAATGGCAGAATCCTACCTCCTGATACTCACATAAGCTTCTTTCTTCTTCCAGAACAGAAGCCGCCAACAGCTTTTTGCTCCCCAAAGTAGCCAAGTGCTTGGAGCACCTGAGCTGTGTGTGGCGTACAGGCAGCGTCCCCTGGGTCCTGGGTGGCCACTGCATGGCCACTGGGCTAGTGACCATTCAGCATGTTCCCTTGCTCTCTGCCTGTCTCTGGGAAGAGTAGTGCTCCCCCCAGCAGAGAGAGGGTATTGATGGGGGAGTGGAGAGGGCTGGAGGTGACAGATGCTAGCACTCAGGCATGGAACCTGCCTTTGTGTATGAATTCTTGTTGGCTGTTTATTTCTTTTAGAGCTAAAGTTGCCACTATCACCTATACTCCATGGTGCCTCATGACTTGAGATCTGCTTTCAGAGCAAGATCCAATCAAATGTTTGAAGCTGAGTCCCTATCCTGAGCCCTGACCTGAAACAGGTGGTCATTCTATAGCAAGCACTTTCTTCTCAACCACTCTGGCTATTTAGGGGCCCAGTTCAGCCTCGCTAGAGAATCTGTCAGGAGACGTGCACTGTCAGCATGTGCTGACCCTGGGAAGCCAGGCTGTCCTCCACACTGTAATCTGGATAGTTGCTGGTTAATGGCCCTGACAACCCCTGGAGAGGAGCCAGGTTCAGCTGGGTCTTGAGGAAGCAACAGCACAGCCATCCAGAGCTTCCTTCTGTTTTTGCAGCCACCTCATCTGGTTGTGCTTCATCCACTGGCAGACTTCTGTACTGCTTCCTCCCTGCTTCTGGTGCCCCACAGATTGAGAAAGGCCCAGTTGCCATGGCAATGCCTGGAGCCATCTGAATTCCTGCTGTACCTCCTAGAAGAGAAGGGCTCAGGGATAGCCACTGGTGGATTTGAAGTCTGGGCTCAGGGGTCAGATACATGGTTACAGCTGGAGTGTGGGAGGTAGGTGGCCTGCCTGCCTTGGGAAGACTGTAGCTGCAAAATACACAACCTCGGACAAGTTCTCTTTGTGTGTGGATCAAAACTAAATGAGGTTTCCTACCTGGGCTCTTAGGTAATATTCTATCCCAGGTGTGGTCAAACTTGAGTGTGCATCAGAGTCCCTTGGAGGGCTTGCTAAAATACAGATAGCTTGGCCACACCTCCTGAGTTTCTGAGTCAGGTAGCTCTGGGATAGAGCTAGAGAATTTGTAGTTCTAGCAAGCTCCCAAATTATTCATGGTCTAAAGGCCATGCTGGGAGACCCGCTGCACTTCTCTTCTGAGAGGGAAAAGCATCACATCTGTACAGGAAGCCATTGCCAGCCAGGCAGGGAAAGGCCACAGTCATTATCTCTTCCAGAGAAGGAAAAGGGGGTGGTGACGGTTCCCTTGGCTGAGAGCTCTGGGGAATGTGTGTTGGTCCTTACCACCCCTAGATGGGTTTTCTTTTTGGTCTTCAACCAATATACAGAGAGACCTTCTCAGACGTGAAGATGAGAGACATGTGAAAGCAAGGCCCTCAAGTTACACGGACCAACATGAGAAGTTCCCAGACACTGGGTGAGGCACTTCGGAGCCTGCGGTCTCAGTGTTGGGGCACACTACTGGCCTGTCTCAAGGGCAGGTAACAGGAAGAGGGCTTCACAGGCACCTAAACCTCAATTGGAGCTTTTGTTCAGCATGCTTCCCCTGGAATGCAAATACTATCTTCCATACTAAAACATTATTCAGACCCCATCTCCCTTGGGCATTACAGAGAGAGAGAGAGAGAGAGAGAGAGAGAGAGAGAGAGAGGGAGAGAGAGAGGTATAGAAACAAAGCCCTCTGCTGCACACCTACCTGATCCTACTGCGGGGAGGGGATCTAAGGCCTTCCCTGCACACTGAGCCCAGCCTGGGAAAGCAGGTCTCTGGTTGGTGGGCTTGTCTGCAAACAGGGAGTACACTGGTGCCAACTCCCCTCTGCCTCCTACTCCTGGGACAACTGGAGCAGGGCCACAGCACAACAGGAATGAATACCAAATACATCTACCGGGTCCAGAGGCAGTATCAATTACCAGTTCTGTGAAGCTTTGGATGGGTGTCTCCTGCCTTCGTTCTGAGAACCAGGGAGGCTTGGACTGGCCTGGGAAGAGCGGGACATCCTGGCATTTCTGAGGAGAATGGGCCTGTCACTGCTAGCAGGAGAGGTGCAGCTCTCACGTTAACGACTCTGAGTGAACATGAAGTATGTGCTAAACATCAAGTCTTCCTTGAGTCTTCAGGCCTCCCCGAATCCAGGTTGATTGTAGCCTGGTCTGAGTTTGTGTTTCCGCGTGAGGGGTGGGCTTAGGAGAGCTACACTGACCTCAGACTGCCACTTCAGGAAAGGGAAAGGCACGGCCACTGCTCAGATCCTGGTCACCGCAGTATTGGTCTTTAGGCTTATGAATAAGAGGAGAGCAGGCCCTGACCTTAAAGAGTGCAGGCTGACAGAGACCTCCTAACTCCCAGCCCTTGGCTCTCTGATTATCTTTTAGAATCAACTCTATCCTAAATCTGCTGCAGCCCAGCAAGGTAAGAACCCTGCAGGTGTCACCCTCCAGCCATTGCCATCCTCATCAGAGCTCATAGGCCTGCGGGGGAATGGTCGGGCGTACATCCCACCCTAGGGGTCTCTGCTGTGAGTTTTTTGGCCACAGCTGCCATGGTTTCCCAGAGAAGAGCAAAGCATCAGACTCAGCACCTGCCCCTTGCACTGGATGGAGTATCCATCCCACCAGGCCTGAAAGCCATCTGTGCACATGGCTTTTTCTTCAGGCCCCAGCTCTTAGTCTCTTTCCTTCCCCACCAGAAAAGCCTGCGTGCCAGGTACCCATTGCTTATCAGAGGAAGAATCCAGTCTGGGTCCTGGATCTGAAACCTCTAGAAGTCCTCCCTGAAGCTCCCAAATCTCAGGCCTGGTGGCCACCTAAGGTCCATTCCCTGTACTTCCCTCAGCAGGGCTGGCTCCTCTGCACAGCCTCCCTGGTTCTCAGAACGAAGGCAGGAGACACCCATCCAAAGCTTCACAGAACTGGTAATTGATACTGCCTCTGGACCCGGTAGATGTATTTGGTATTCATTCCTGTTGTGCTGTGGCCCTGCTCCAGTTGTCCCAGGAGTAGGAGGCAGAGGGGAGTTGGTGTCAGTGCACTGATGCCTCACTTCCTGGCTCCTGAGCAGTGGAGAGCAGTGGAGAACTGCGCCTGGTGAGGAGTCCTCTGCTCGGCCCCAGCCTTTCACCTGGCCTCCTTGGGCTCGGCCTTTGGGAAAAGGATGTGCCTGTGGGGCTGCTGAGAAGGAAGCCATGTGTCAGGGCTGGGGGACAAAGGAAAGCTCTGGGCCCAAGAGCAGAGCCAGCTGGTGGTGGTGAGGGAGCCAGTGGGACCCCACTCTCTCCTCTGTGGCTCCCTCTTTTTCCCCCTGGCTGCTGATTGGGGTTTGTCCT